ATAAAAAACTTTTTATTTTTAAAAAGCACCCCCGAGCAATAAAAATTAAAATTTCAGAAAAAAATTTTATTTAAAACCTTTTAAAATATTTTTAGTCTTAATGTAGGGTGGAGGGAGTTTTATTTGTACGAAGTCAGGTTTTGGGGAAATTTGGAAACCAGCCCGGGGGGCCCTTCCCCCCCCCACCCAACATAATGTAAACCAAAACAGGCCCAACACGCTGGGTTTTTACTTTAATCGTGTACAAATTGTCTCCCCATTTGATACTGTAGAATAAATAAAGAGAAAAACTCTCATTCTCATGTAACACCATTTTTTGAAAGGGAAAGATGCCCTTTTAGTGAAGGCATACAAAAGGAATAATTTTCTAGCTATCCCCAGTAATATTACAGGTACACATTTTTCTTGATGTTGGACTACAGGTTTCCTGGGGTATCACAAGTCCTACAAATTTCCTGGGGTACCACAAAATTTACAAGTTGCCCGGCAAACCCCAAGTCCTAAAGTCACCGGGTGCCAAAAAGTTTCCCACAAGTTTCCTTGGGGTACCCCCAAATCCTACATGGGCGCTGGCTACCCCAAAGTCCTCAAGTCGCCCGGGGACCCCAGACATTTTCTTTTTAAAAGTCGCCGTCTCCCCCCGAAGCAGGGGGGCCCCAAGGGGCCCAATTGGGGTCAATTGGGTGGTGGACAAATACGTAAGGAAAATGCGGGGGGAAATTCATTTACAACTGGGACCTCCCTTTTATGGAGAAAAGGGCATGTTGCCAGGGGTGGGGGTTATTTCTTTGGTTTTGGGGTGGGAGCACTGGCCCCTGCCCGTGGAGGGAGGGAGTTAGGACTTTAAACTTGGGGGTAGGTTTGTGGTACGGGTTTTGGCAGGGAAAAAAGTGAAGTCCAAAATGTATAATATTCGGGTTCTGGGGGAACTTGTAATAAAAAGAATGAGGTAGATATTGGAAAAAACCAGGGACCTTGGGTGGGTAAGGGGCATAATAGGTTTTTTGTTTGGGAAAAAAAGAAAGGGGCAGGAAAAGGGTTTAAAAAGAAAGGGAGTCTTTCAAAGTTTTTTGCTAAATTTCCATTTGTGTAGGAATAAGATGGACGAGTTGAGATTAGTTGCTAGTGCAGGTAACACTGATGTATTTGCCTTAACTGAGACGTGGTTTAATTCAAAAAGTCGGGACATGCCTGCGGAATGTCATATTCAGGGTTTTAATTGTTCCAAGAAGATAGAAGTATTGGGAAGGGGGGTGGGGTGGCATTGTATGTCCGAGGATCGCTTGAACTGTTGCATAAAAACGGGTATTAAGTCTGAAGTAACACATACAGAGTCTGTTTGGATAGAATTTTCAGAGGGGCATGAAAAACTGATTTTAGGAGTGATATACCGTCCCCCAAACTTAGATAGGGACCAAGGGAAACTACTATGGGAGGAAATTGTTAAGGCCACAAGGCACGATAATGTAGTAATTCTAGGAGACTTTAACTTTAGTCATGTTGATTGGAATTTCTTGACTGGAATTTAGAATCATACGACTTCTTAGAAGTATTTCAGGATTGTTTTTTGAAGCAGTTTGTGACAGAACCTACAAGGAAAATAACCTGCTTGACTTAGTTATGGCAAACAATGAATCCCTTGTTAATAATTTAGAAATTTCAGAGGAACTGGGTGCTAGCGACCACAAATCAATTACATTTAGCATGAATGGAAGTACGATAGTAGTGATAACTCAGTAACAGTCCAGATTTTGCTTAGCGATTAGAGGGCTTAGAGAACACTTATCATCTGTTGACGGGGGGTAACGAAGAGAGCTATCAATATGACAGTTTTCTGAACCTATACATGCTGCTCAAAGAGGTTTATCCCATAAAAGAAATTAGATAAAAATAGAAAAAACCCCAAAAGGGATGAATAAAGGCTCAAATATTACTAGGGCTAAAAAAGGAAATTTTTTAAGGCGTACAAAAGGGGTGGGGGGGCATTTTATAAATCAGTATTTAAATTAAAGGGACATTAAAAGGGGATAAGAAAAGAAAAGGGACTTAAAATTCAAGTTGTAGGGTTCTAAAACAAACCCAAAAAAGTTTTTCCAGGTCTATAGAACAAAAGTTAGAGAAAAGATGGTCCCCTTAAAAAAAACTATGGGCACCTTAACAAAGAGAATGAAATGTGCTTGTTTTTAAAAATAATTATTTTCTCTCAGTTTTTCACGGGAAGGGGACACAAACAAATTCAGTAATTAATTTTTACGTGGGTAGAAAAGATAAATTATGAAACATACAGTCATAGTGGATGGTTGTGAAGCAGTGACAGATGAAGCATAATAAGGCCGGGTCCTGATGGGTTTTTTCAAGGGTTCTTAAGGAATGCAAAAATGGAACTCTGTAAACCCCATTAACTTTATTTTTAATTTGTCTCTTAACAGGTGTAGGTCTGATAGGGGAAGATGGTAATGAAATTTCCTTTTTTTAAAACAGGGGACAAGTCGTTCCCGTCAATTACCCCCCATAAGCCTGCCTCAATTGTGGGCAAATTACTAGGTCAATTAAGCTGAGATTATAAGAAGCCATCTCGATAAGATACTTGATTAATGAACTCAGCTGGATTCACAGGGCCCGGTCTTGTCTAACTTTTATTAACTTTCTTAAAAAAACTTTTGGGGGTGTTGACCAAAATAAAGAATTTGATATTATTTACTTGTTTTGTAAGGTTTTTGATAGGTTCTGCACCATGATTTTTAAAGAAAGTGGCAGTCAGGCTTGGGGGAAAAGTGCTCTCGTGGACAGTCAGGGCTCCTGACAGGAAGAGAGGTGTCCATAAAGGGGGTTAAAGTCCGAGGGGGGATCTGTCAAGTGGCGTTCCACAGGGATCAGTTTTGGGGCCCTTTTGTTGTTTATAATATATATCAATGATCTGATGGGGGAATTACTAGTGATATGAGCAATTCGCCGTGGCACAAAGATAGGTGGATAATTGATTCAAACCAGATGTTAGGAACTTCAGGAGGTTTAAAAAAACCTTATTTTTGGTCTGAAAGTGGCAGATTCAGTTCAATGTAGAAAATGCAAGGTTCGAAGCTTGGGGTGCCCAAAACCCCCTGTATTAAATTTAAATGATGTAGAAATTAGCCATAAAGTTTCGAAAAGGGCTTGGGGGTTAGGTGACGAACCTTAAACCCAAGCAGCAATCCCTAAGCGTACGTAATAAGGAAATAATTACTGGGATTTTATCAAGAAGTTAAGCAACAGAAGTCCAAGGTCTACTGCAGCTTTTCATCATTAGTAACCCTCCCCTAGATTTGCAGCTCAGTTTGGTCTCCGTATTAAAAAAATGGACATAAATTCATTAGAAAAATTCAGCGTGGATGACTAAATTAATACATACATTAGAAATCTTCATTATGAAAAAAGATTAAAAGATTTAATTAATTCACTTTTTAGACAAGAATGAGGGAGCCCTGATCGAAGTGTATAAGTGAAGTAGGTATTAAAAAAGGGGATATTAATAAGGTTTTGGGTGCTCCCAAAGGAAATGAGAAATGGATTTAAAATTAATTAAGTTTAGATTAAAAGGGGAATAGGAAAGTACAGTATTGGTTTGGGGAAATAGGGTATTGATGAGGGGAAACAGTCTCCCTAGTTGGTTATGAGGCTGGGATTTTTGGGTAGTTTCAAACTAGGTTGGTAAGTTAGAGGGGGAAAAGGGGGTTGGATTTGAGGGGACTTCCATCGGGAGCTTATTTCTTGGGGTGGCATTAAAAAATTGGGTTTGGCAAATGTTTTTTTATGGTGAATTGTAAAGGCCCGTGTAGGGGCCCCAGCAGGCCTCCTGCGTTTTTCCTCCTTTCTTATGTTCTTATGAAAGAAAATCCCCAAAAGAAAAATTTCTATCATTCAACACTTTCACACACTCACCAATATTTTTTTTGCAGAGGGCTCAGAATCAACAGTTTAAAAGCATATACATAAAAGACACAACAAAACCCTTAAAACTGCCAAATTTTCCAAACCCCCCTTTTTAAATGCAGGCACTGTACTTCCCTTTTCCAAGGATCAAGTCCGGTATTAAAAAAAACCGTTTCCCTAAAACCCCTTTCACTAAAATTACTCTGCCCACTCCAACAGCTGTCAGGTCCCAAATCCTTTGTCTCCATTCCCCCTATCTAACACACTCATGCATGCTTGTCATATTTATATAATTTATTTACTGTGGGGTGTATTTAAATGGATTAACAAAATGTCTATACTGTTTTAACGATTTATACGATATTTAATGCACTCGTGATTATTATGTATTATCATTATTAACGGCCTTAAAAACTAATAAACCTTTAGCATTTTAATGTGTCCCTGCATGCCAGCACAGTGTTAACTTTATTGGGTACAGGTACACACACGAAAAATTACAGTTATAATAATAATTGGGGATGTAGTCCGCTTGAGTACATACCTATCCCACCTAAATAAACACGATTTTTAATGTGGCCGGCCCATATTATTACCATCGACATACCATGTTCACCGGTTTTAATCTTTAAACAACTACCTTTTAGATCCCATCATAAAAAAAGGGAGAAGTAATGAATAATTCATGCCGAGAAATGTAAACAAAAAATTAGGTTTTAAGGGGGAGTGAGTAATGTTTTCCCTCCGCTTGGTACTACACCTCCAATATGTAAACAAAATGTTTTATGTCCCATGTAATGATTTTTTGTAAAATTTTGAAAAAAATATATGATGGGTTAATGAAAAATGTTATTTGATGTAAAATTAGACATTTAATGTGTCAAGAGTGATTATTACAAAATAAGATGTGTCTAGAGAATGTAAACAAACCGGAGCGCCCCCGTTTTTTGAAAAGACTTTTCCCGTATAAAAGGCTCGGGTAATTTTTTGAGATCCCCATATTAGGGGAAATTCCGAAAATGGACCCCTCTTATCTCTTGAGTTTTCTCATTTAAATCCCTTAGTTAAAAATGACTGACACTGTCACTTACCTTATGACCTGTTAAAACTCTCATGCAATTTCCATTGAAACAATCCCAAACTCGAATACTGCGATCACTGGATCCAGATGCCACATAATTGCTGTTAGGGTGAAACTGAACAACCTGTTAAGAGAATAAAACAGTGAGTGGATATGTAGGATTAATATACAGGAAACATAAGCTTACTTTCTTTACTATCTTGATTTTGCCATGTGACCATTGTCCAAAGTAACTTTATACTCATGGTATTAATTCTTTTTTGAGTGAATATAAATAAATTTCTAGTAGTCACACAGTGAATGTTTATGTCCAAAATACAGGGCAATATATGCTGAAAAAAATAAAAAATACATTGCATAACATTAGTAAGAAGCCTCAGAAAGCTGCAGCTTTAAATTTACATTGATAAAAAAAATAAAAGCTTTGAAAGCATCATCCTCCCTTATACAAATTTAATGCCAGTGATTTATTATTATTTTTTTTTTATTATCACACTGGCCGATTCCCACCAAGGCAGGGTGGCCCGAAAAAGAAAAACTTTCACCATCATTCACTCCATCACTGTCTTGCCAGAAGGGTGCTTTACACTACAGTTTTTAAACTGCAACATTAACACCCCTCCTTCAGAGTGCAGACACTGTCTTCCCATCTCCGGATCAAAATCCCCCCTGCGGGTTTCCCCAACCCCTTCATAAATGTTACTTTTTCTCACACTCCAAAAAGCACGTAAGTATTAAAAACCATTTGTCTCCATTACTCCTACAAACACGCTCACGCATGCCTGCTGGAAACCAGCCCTGCCACAAAACCTCTTTACCCCCCCCCCAACCTTTCCTAGGCCGACCCCTCCCCGCCTTCCTTCCACTACAGACTGATACACTCTTTAAATTATTCTGTTTGTCCCTTCTCTCCCATTCCGAACCCCTCAAAAACCCCTTCCTCAGCCCTTGGACACAGTTTTGGTAATCCCCCACCTCCTCCCAACTTCCAAATACGATTTCTGCATTATTTCACACCACCTTGCTCTCAGACTGACATCTCCCCTGCCTCCAGCCTTCTTTTTTCCCCGTGCAACATTCTCACCATGCTTTCACACCCATAAAGCGTTGGAAAACTTACTCTCATACATTTTCCCCCTTTTTCCCCCAAGGCAAAGTTCTTTGTCTCTAAATCCCAAGGGGACCCCCCCCCTTTTTCCCCCACAATTCTATGATTCACCTCTTTTTTTTCTAACCATTGTTGACACGTCCACTCCCAAATTTCTGGATACATTCCCCCCTCCCTACTCTCTCCCTCCAATCTGTATCCAATCTTTATCATAATTTTTTGTTATCCTCAAACCTTCTCTTTTCCCGTATTCACTTTCAATTTTCTAATTTTGCACCCTACCAAATTTATCCCCCAATTCTGCAACTTCTCTTCAGAATCTCCCCAAAAGCACAAACTTATAAACTTTTGATATTAAAAAAAGTAACTGAAGCAGTGTCCCCCCGTATGAAAAAAAACTTTTGCCAGCCCAAAATACAATTAGATTTATTCCTTCTAAAAAAATTTCCCAAAATTGCTGAATGTTTTTCTACTCACATCGACATCAGAAAAATGTCCAGCAAAAAAACCCGAGGCTGTGGGATCTGTTGCCCCAATCTACCAGTTTTTGATCATGCCACCAGGGGAAGTATAGCCATGAGGGGAGAAACCACTCCATACAGCAAAGTTTTGTCCTTTTTTAAAAAAACCAAAAATGTCCACGTTTGCATCTCCATAAACGAACTGAAAATACAAAATATCAATATATTATTTTTTTTTAATGAACAGCCGTACCACCGAGGCAGGGGGACCTAAAAAGAAAAAAAAAGTTTCTCTTTTAAATTTAGTAAAGTATCGGAAAAAAAAGGGGTTGCTAGCCCCCTTTCTCCGTATTTTTTCTCCCCCTTCGACACCATGGGTTACAGGGAAGAATTTGTTTCCCCTTCCCCATTCATATATCATTTAAGCAAAAAAATTTTAAAAAAATTATAAGAGAAGGAAGAAAATTGAACTAAACGAATTTTTTAAAAATAAGACGGATTTATGCTTTGAAGCTACCATAAGTGAAAAAAATATTTTCATTTTTATTTTTGTCGAAGCATGAAAAAAGGTTATTGAAAGGTAACAAGATAATATCTAAGAAACTTACTTTGCCACTTTTCAACCCGTGAAAGCAAATTACGGGCAGGCTGAAGCAGCAGGGTTTTGACTGGTCCAGAATGTCCAAGTGAGTACGAACAGGTCAGCTGTTCGGTCACCATCTTCGCACCAGGACATCTTGTAAAAAAAAACATGTTTTTCTTACTTCTTCAAAAAACCAAAAGAAGAATTTGCATTTATACAATATTCATGTGCCTCAAGCAATGTTTCTGACTGTTCATGGACAGCATCAACCATTTTTTTTTTTTTGCCCTGGGAAGCAGCAACATGATATTAAACTATTAAAAAGTGAGCAAAATTCATAAAAAAATAAACAGTATTATGTCACTTTCATCTTATCCATTAGGGTTAAATTGTAAATGAAGTTTGAGCCAAAAAGCATGGTAAAACCAAATTAAATTTATTAATTGTTTTTAAAAATTTTTTGAATCAAAAGCACTAAATACAGTAAATTATCACCACTTTCTTGCATCTCGCTAATATGCTAGTACCTTGTACATTAGGTAGAAATATTTCTGTGAATTGCTGCAGACCCTTATGTTCTTGAGGAGAATGTGTTCATAGAGCCTCCTCTTATGTAGTTCCAAAATGTTTCTACAGGTTTCCAGTGTCTGTTCAGTAAGAAATCTGTTCTGCTTCCAAATTCTAGTTTTAAAGCACATCTTTTTTAATTTTAAATTTTCCCGATAACATACCGCTACTCTTGAATTAAAATTTAGTATTTCTTCATTGTTGTTACATTAATGGCTGGTATGTGAACACTTCTAAATTTCTTTAAAGAACAGGGCGCTCAAAACATAAAAAACCCAACTTTTATTATTATTATTTTATTATTTTTTAAACACACTGGCTGTCTCCCACCCGGCTGGGTAACCAAAAAAAAATACTTTCACCATCTTCCCATCATGTCTTGCCGGGCACGTAGGTAATACAGTTCAGTACCCCTTCAAAATGCAAATTCCCCCATCCCTCCTATAGTCAGGGTCAAAAAAGAAAAACCGGGTTTTTTTGAATCCCTTCACAAAAGTTACCTTTTCCACTTCAACAGCGGGCAGGTCCAAAAACCATTTTCCCCCACTTTACTCCTATTAATACACTTAAAATGCCTCTGGTGTCCCAAAATCCTGCACATAAACCCTCTTTACCCCTCTCCCTCCATCCTTTCCTAGGGTGACCCCTACCTAGCCTTCCCTTCACTACAGATTTATACATCCTCCAAGTCATCCTCTTTTGTTCGGTCCTCTCTAAATGTCTTATTTTTATTCCTATTATTATTATTATCATTATATTAAACTTAGTAAATATATTTGTTCCAATGTCAGAAGTCCGATGCACCTATTTTTAATTGGTTCCAAACTGTCATTGTCGGAGTTCTACTGTACAAGCTTAGTGGAATCTATAATAGCAGGATGACATGGAGGGAAAAAAATACTGTAGTATATTTTAACAAATGCTTAATTAACTGCATAATCAAAATTAAAAATATTAAGCTTGCACTTATCAAGGAATCATACCAGCATCTTTGTCTATGTCATTCAACTGCTCTGCAGACTTCATGCAGCGTAATTTACTAGGTGTGATACTCTGCACTCGAACTTGTGAGTCAGACGTACAGTATGCTAGGAGACTGGAGTCGTCAGATATGTCTACTGCTGTAATGCTGAAACAGAGCTTTAGGTTAACATCAAAACAATGAAAGGATAAAAAAGTATACTAAGGGTAACAATTGATCTTACATACCATCTCTCAGAGTAAACAGCATCACAAGGAACCACTATCTGCAAATCACTTACATACAATACCACCACCTTTTTCAAGTAAACCAATATAAAAATTTCTATAATATAACATACTTTTTTTTATTTTTTTTTTTAACAAATCAGCCATCTCCCACTGAAGCAGGGTGACCCAAAAAGAAAGAAAATCCCCAAAAAGAAAATACTTTCATCATCATTCAACACTTGCACCTCACTCACACATAATCACCCACCTTCCGTTCTTAACTTTTCTTGAGATCATTCACCTTATTCTTATCAATACCCTGTGTTTGTACTGGAATTCTAAATCTCAAATTCCATCATACTAGACTTTTAATGACATCCTCCATCTCCTAGGTCTTCGACATCAAATTCTGATCCCTCTTTCCAAATCTTCAATTCTGTGTCTAGGCAGTTTCTTCTCTAGTCCCCCTTACCCTTATTTCCTCTACACATCTCTTTTTGCCCCTACTTTGTCAGTGGAATCACTTATCCCCACATCATAGAAATATAAATTCAGCTTCTACCTCTATTTTAGCACCTAAGCCTCCATGGAATACACATCTCCTTAACGTCTACTCATCAAACTTTATTCTGCCATCTTGCTGTACTATTCTTACGAAATTGTTAATTTGGATCTTCACTATAAATCATTCTTATTGTTAAGATAGTGTTAACAATTGTGATGTTACCATGGCTGTTCAATATATTTATAGATAGGATTGTCCTAGGTAGTAGGTTGGTAAACAGCAACCGCCCAGGGAGGTACTACCGTCCTGCCAAGTGAGTGTACAACGAAAACCTGTAATTCTTTTACATGATGGTAGGATTGCTGGTGTCTTTTGTCTGTCTCATAAACATGCAAGATTTCAGGTATGTCTTGCTACCTCTACTTGCACTTAGGTCACACTACACATACATGTACAAGCATATATATACACACCCCTCTGGGTATTCTTCTATTTTCTTTCTAGTTCTTGTTCTTGTTTATTTCCTCTTATCTCCATGGGGAAGTGGAACAGAATTCTTCCTCCGTAAGCCATGCGTGTTGTAAGAGGCGACTAAAATGCCGGGAGCAAGAGGCTAGTAACCCCTTCTCCCGTATAAATTACTAAATTTAAAAGAGAAACTTTCGTTTTTCTTTTTGGGCCACCCTGGCTTGGTGGGATATGGCCGGTGTGTTGAAAGAAAAGATAGGAGTGTAAAAACTGAATGCTTAGGGTGTCATGGAAAAGTGTGGGAATAGAAGATAAAGATTCTGATAAGTGGAAGTGGTTGCAATTACTCTTTTGAAGGGTCTGAATAGAAATTGCAAAGGTTGGTGAAGGGGTTCGGGAAAGAGCAAGGTGAAAACATTAACAAAGTTCAGGCAATGAAAGCTTGGGGGTAGGGAGTATGAAGGAAGTGAATATACAGTACATACTGTATTCAGATATTTGGGAGTTGATGTATCAGTAGATGGATCTATGAAAGACAAGGAGAACCACAGAAGAGGTGAAGGAAAAAAAAATGACACAAAGTGTTGAGGAATCTAAAGATTGGAAAGTGAAATGTACCAAAGTATTACTAACACTTCTATATGGGTGAGAAGCATGGGTTTCAAACATTGCAGTGCGAGGCTTGAGGCAGTGATGTCATATCTCACAGCAATTTGAGATGTGAAAATAATGAAAAGAATTCAGAGCATAGAAATTGGAAGACTGTGCAGGGTTACTAGAGATATTTCAGAGGGCAGAAGAGGGTTTGATCTAGAAGTCTGGGCATCCAGAGAGGTCAGAGCCAAACAAGATAAGCAAAGGATGTATAAACCCAGGATGCAGGAAAAAAAAGAGGAATAGGAACTATCCCAGGAAGGATTGGATGGGATGGAGGTTTTAACAGGGAGGGGCTTAAGCAAAGTAACATTTATGAAGGAATTAAGGGACACTGATTAGCCACTCGTAGATGTGGGAGTAAAGTACCGAGACTCTGAAGAAGGGGTGGGGATGTTACAATTTAAGTGCCATTTAAACTGAGACATCTGTGCACTTATGTTAAGACAGCTATTGAATGAGTGATGATAATGTTCCCTATTTTGGGTCACCTAACCCTGGTGGAAGACAGCCAATGTGGTTTGAAAAGGTAAACCATTTATCAAAGTCCTAAAATCTGCTAAGTACCCTACTTTTTATGCTCATTCATTTAAATACATGTCAATATTAATTTATACGAATATTACAGAGTGAACAGCAGATGGTTTAAAAATAATCCTGGTTCTATTGTAACATCAATTTAATTTCCTAATACTGTACGGTATTTATTACACCTCATACAAGTGCAAAAAAGCAAAACTACTTACTTTCCTGTAGCATTCAAAAAGGTATAAAAACATATTGAAGGAAGGGTATCCTTGCTTAGTGTTACTCTTTTCAGAGCATCTCTGAATGCTTTCGCCTTTTCCACAAAATCAATTTCACGTCTGAAATAATGCAAATATATGTTAGATAGAGTAATGAGGCAAAACATGTTAACAGAAATTTAATGAAAATGTTTCACTGATATTATCTTAATACAGCTAGCTCTCCACTTTTGTGAGTTCCACTTTTGTGAGCTTCAAACATTTGCAAATGCCCAGCTGCCCAATCATATTTACCAAACAAATGCGGGAAAAAAGTATGGGAAAATGCTTCCAGCCACGTCCCTACTATTCTCCCTCTTACCCCATCAACCGGCAGCCCGCCAGTCTGCTGCTCACTCATTATTCAGTTACTGTTCGCGTCAGTCGTGTCCAGTTACTGCTTATATCCTACTGTGCATGTGTTTGTGTGGTGGTGCACATATGGCCCCCAAGCGAGCAGCAACCACTATTGATGACCCAACCCCTAAGTGCTGACTCAAAGAAAGTCATGAATCTGGAGAAGATGAAATTGCTAGATAAGTGTAGGGCAGGTTATTTGAGCAATTCTGCCATTGGAAAATTATTTAATGTAAACGAAAGCACAGTGTGCTTTCTCAAGAAAAATGAGGCGAAGATAAGGGCAGCACTAGCATCTACTGCTCCTCCCTCAGCCAAGCAAGTGTCACAAGTAAGAATCAGCATTATTTGTGTGGATTTCAGACCAAAATAGAAAAGGAAATTCCATAGACAGCAATGTCATTCGTGCAAAGGGAAAAACTTTGTATGATACGTTGGCTAGTGATGAGGCTAGCACCATTACAGAACCAGGAGGTCCTACCATCACCCATCCTGACTTCCTAGCAAGTAAAAGATGGTTTGATAAATTTAAGAGATGGTTCTCCCACACAACTTGGAGATGAGTGGAGAATCAAGTTCAGCAGATCATGCTTCGGCAACTGCATTCCCTGGCGCTTTGAAGAAAAATCATCGATGAGAAGGGATACAGGCCTGAGCAGGTGTGGGATATAGATGAAAGAGCCCAGTATTGGAAGATGATGCCTGCCAGGGAATTCATCGCCAAGGAGGAGAAAAGTACGCCATGGTTCAAGGTTGCAAAAGACCAATGCACATTAATACTATGTGCTAATGCTGCTGGGCACATGGTAAAGCCAGGCTTTATTTATAAAGCTGCCAACCCCAGAACACTGAAGGGACGCAACAAGAATCTCCTTCCAGTATTCTGGATGCACAATCTGAAAGCATGGACCACTAATGTCATCTGTATGAACTGGTTTCACCACTGTTTCCTGACAGAGGTACAGGCATACCTACAAGAGAAGAGCCTCCCAAACAAAATCCTCTTGCTTCTTGATAATGCTCCAGGTCACCCACCATCACTGGAGGAAATGTGTGACGATGATGAGGTTGTGTTCATGCCGCCAAACACAACCTCCTTAATACAACCTCTTGATCAGGGTGTGAGAGCTACATTTAAAGCCTACTACACACAAAAGTCAATGCAAAGGCTCCACACTGTGTTGGATGAAGATCCAGATATGAGAGTCATTCAATACTGGAAGAAATTCACTACTGCTGACTGCCTCTCATTAGTGCATGAGTGTGTCAAGGATTTGCACCCTCAGACAGTGAAGGGTTGTTGGAGGGCTTTGTGGCCAGAGTGTGTGTGATTCTGTTAGATTTGGTCCTCAGGATGAGGTTAACAAAGCCATGAGGAAGACTGTGGAGTTAGCAAGGCTAGTTGGTGGTAAAGTTTTCGAGGACATGCAGGAGGGTGAGGTGAGAAAACTGGTTGAAGAACATGTACTGGGCATAGATGATGAAGAATTGTTGGGGATTGTGCAGGCAGAGAGTGAGTATGAAGAAAAGGAGTGTTGCTGAGGCCAATCAACCTCAAGCCCTCAACCTTGAGCATAATTCCCTACAAAACTCTGTTTGTAGATATGAAGAGGAAACAGTCTCAGTTGACCATCACAATGTTCTTCACAAGGAAGCCTGCCACTACTCCTGCTGCTACCCCTACTGCCTCGCCTGAACCTCAACCCATGGCAGAATCTGACTCCAATGCTAACTCTGCTTCTAGCAATGTCATCAGTAACACTGGCAGTGAAGAGTTAGAATCCACACACAAGACTCATCATGCCATGCAATTACACTCCATATAATCACCTCCATTCAACTGTCATCAGTAACTGCATGGCTATCATCACCATCCATCATCATCATCGTCATCATCATCACAAGTTGTCAGAGTTCGTCTGCCTAACCTTATGAGTGGCGAATGTTTTGTTAGTTCATTATTTGTTATTAAACCATACCAAGTATATATACAATATTTTACAATGTTTTCATGTGTTTTATGATTGTTCGTGGTTCAGTATGTTAAGGAAGCAGTATTGTTAGACCAAGTAAATGCTATTATTGTATTTTCCTACAATATATTTATGCATCAAAACATTCACAAACACTACAGTACAGTATTATTATATTTCCCTACATCATATTTGCGCACCAAACATTTGCAAATTTTCAAGATTTGCGAGGTTCTTGATCCCCTAACCCTCGCGAATGTAAAGGGCCTCCTGTACAGTAGTATTTAAAACCAATTTATCCAGCAGAAAACATATGCAAGACCACTAAAGATATAAATTATGAAATCAAGCTTACAGTTCTGGTAATGGAATTCTGTTTGTGGGTGGAGCATTGGGATCATTCTTCTTGCTCTTTTGAAGAGCATCTTTTTTGGGCTTCTTTTTCTTTGGTTTATCCCCTTCTTCTTCTCCCTCTTCCTCTTCCATATGAAAGTTAGGCAGCTCTGGTTCTTTAAGCAGTCCATAGTACATCTTTGATTTGTTTACTGGAAGAGAACAGACAAATGTGAAATAGGACAGCACCAGCCTATTACAGCACTGCAACTGTGAAGGGTAAATTAAGAACACCTGAATGTACAGACAAATAAATACGAGTAAAATTAAAGAATTGTACATAAACGTATGATTACCATGAACTACATACTTCATAAACAAGTGCCAAATTAATTTATATAAGTTATTTCGCATAGATTAAATAAACAAATGGGAGTGACAGGCTTTGTGAAGGTTGTAATATGAGTAATATAATGTATTTATCATTAAGCCTTGGCAGAATGAAATGGAAGTGTATTTTTGCAGAAATACTTAAAGCATTATGAAGAGGTATAATAATGTTTACATTGTTGGAAATATTGAGAAGTAGATGTGCTGTTAGTGTGAGCAAGGTAATATTTATGAAAAGATATGGGGATACCAGTTAGCTGGACCCGAGTCCTGGAGGTGTGAAGTACAGTGCCTGCACTTTGAAGGAGGGAAGGGAGAAGGAGGGGGAGATGGAGTGTGTGATGGTAAAAGCACTTCTTTTTTCATGTCACTGTCTCAGTGGAAGACTGCCAATGTTTTAAAGAAAATAAGAACTCTTCCTTCCATATACTTTTTTTACTCTCTAGAAACCTTTCATATACGTACAGTGGAACCTCGGCTGACGAACATAATCCATTCTGTGACCTTGTTTGTATGCAGAGTCAATTTTCCTCATTTAAATTAACTGAAATGCAATTAATTCGTTCCAGCCTCTCAAGAGGCATGACAAAATAATGCTAATATCAACTCTACAGCTTAGTTATCTATCACAATTCATTTAATATGACATAATAAACAACAGAAAGGAAAAGAAACCAGCGGCAGCGGCAGGAGAGGCACCAACCTCTCATTTTTTTCACCAGCCAGAGCCCTCAACGCTTCTATGATGGCCTAATTGCAATCATAACTGCACTAACGCACGCAGAACCCAGCATGACCCAACATAAACAACAGTGATACTTACAAACCGAGAAATTACCGATTGAAGCGAAGACTGCCCCACAAACTCCAGGCACAGCCCCACTGCCAGATGACTACCTACTCCAAGCTCTTAACTAATTTAGTTTCTTCATCTAACCACAGCAACTCCTGTACTACTATGAGACCAAATCATAGAAGAAACAGCACTAAGAACAGCAAGGCAGCACCTAGAAATCGACTATTCCATATGACGACCCAGCAGGATGCCGGTGCCCCATCCACCCCCCTCACCACCCAGAGCGATGCATCACCAACAACAAACATGGCCGACTCCCCCCTCACCCACCAACCAAGGCGACTCAGCTACAACACCACCATCCGTGACTGACTCCCTCTCTACTTCTACTTCCTTCACAGGATTTAACCCATCTGACATGCTCCTGGGTATGACCAATGATCCTGACACTCTAAAGAAATACATCACCACCCTAACAGCGGATAACTTGCATCTTCATACTGAAAATATGAATCTTCGTACAACAATAACAAACCATGAATCTAAGTTACTTCACCTTGAGAATAAGATCAACAGCCTTGAACAACAGCTAACATCAACTGGCATGACTGATTTTTTGGCAAGACCCTCCAAGCAGTCATAGCCAGCCACACAGATCAAATAACTTACCTAAACACAAAGGTTGAAGATGCCATCAAGGACTGGAAAATCAACATGGATACCCAATTCAACAAATATTTTGCTTACCAAGATGGTAAAACAGAGCAAGATAAGCTAGCTGATGCGGTAGTGATTAACAGTCCACTCTTTCCTAGTGAATTAAACCATACCAACTGCAAAGCTACAACTCTTCAGATCATACATGACCACCTACATGTTAATGTGCCAGTGTCAGAAATAAAAGAATCCTGGTTACTAGGGAACCAAGGGAGAAAACAAAGTGTTATGCTTAAATTTCACACACAAGACAGAAAAAAAGATCTAATAAGTTCATCTATTAAAGCAAAAAAATATATACAGTGGAACCTCTACTTACGAGTGCAGCCACGTGCGAGTTTTTCCAGATACGAGCAGCTGCTCAGTTGATTTTTTGCTTCCAGACGCGAGCAAAATTTCCAGATGCGAGCGGGCCTCAAGGGAGGTTAATTGACACTGGTGAGGGGGCTCTTGCTCCTGATCTAGGGAATTGGATCTCAGTTGTTTGTTGGACTATCTTGCTGAAACTTGGGCAATGTATGATGAAAAGATGCTTCTTAACGTACACCAAAAATGAAAGAAATCGGACCATGAATAACAGAGTTCAATTCCCAGCCATTAGCCTCCCCTTAATGGTATATTTTCGTATGGTTTTTATGGTTGTATTCTTGTTTTATTTGGTCTCATGTGATAGAATGGAAGATATACTACAAAAATAAATATGATTTTAATTGGTTTCACGATGAAAAGTACCTTGAAATTGAGCTCAAAAATAGCAGAAATGCTCAATTCTTTGGCGACATCAGTGGTAGACATCATAAGGTAGCAATGGCAGACAACATGAAACAGCAGTGGCAGACAACATGAAGCAACAGTGGCAGACATCATGAGGTAGCAGTGGCAGACAACATGAAACAGCAGTGGCAGACAACATGAAGCAACAGTGGCAGACAACATGAGGTAGCAGTGGCAGAAAACATGAAACAGCAGTGGCAGACAACATGAAGCAACAGTGGCAGACAACATGAGGTAGCAGTGGCAGACAACATGAAACAGCAGTGGCAGACAACATGAAGCAACAGTGGCAGACATGAGGTAGCAGTGGCAGACAACATGAGGTAGCAGTGGCAGACAACATGAGGTAGCAGTGGCAGACAACATGAGGTAGCAGTGGCAGACAACATGAAGCAGCAGTGGCAGACAACATGAAGCAGCAGTGGCAGACAACATGAAGCAGCAGTGGCAGACAACATGAGGTAGCAGTGGCAGACATGAGGTAGCAGTGGCAGACAACATGAAGCAGCAGTGATGGACAACATGAAGCAGCAGTGGCAGACAACATGAGGCAGCAGTGGCAGACAACATGAAGCAACAGTGGCAGACAACATGAGGTAGCAGTGGCAGACAACATGAAACAGCAGTGGCAGACAACATGAAGCAACAGTGGCAGACAACATGAGGTAGCAGTGGCAGACAACATGAAACAGCAGTGGCAGACAACATGAAACAGCAGTGGCAGACAACATGAAGCAACAGTGGCAGACATCATGAGGTAGCAGTGGCAGACAACATGAAACAGCAGTGGCAGACAACATGAAGCAACAGTGGCAGACATGAGGTAGCAGTGGCAGACAACATGAGGTAGCAGTGGCAGACAACATGAGGTAGCAGTGGCAGACAACATGAGGTAGCAGTGGCAGACAACATGAAGCAGCAGTGGCAGACAACATGAAGCAGCAGTGGCAGACATCATGAGGTAGCAGTGGCAGACATCATGAGGTAGCAGTGGCAGACAACATGAAGCAACAGGCAGACAACATGAAGCAGCAGTGATGGACAACATGAAGCAGCAGTGGCAGACAACATGAGGCAACAGTGGCAGACAACATGAGGTAGCAGTGGCAGACAACATGAAGCAACAGTGGCAGACAACATGAAGCAACAGTGGCAGACAACATGAAGCAACAGTGGCAGACATCATGAGGTAGCAGTGGCAGACAACATGAAGCAACAGTGGCAGACATCATGAGGTAGCAGTGGCAGACAACATGAAACAGCAGTGGCAGACATGAAGCAACAGTGGCAGACAACATGAGGTAGCAGTGGCAGACAACATGAGGTAGCAGTGGCAGACAACATGAAGCAGCAGTGGCAGACAACATGAAGCAGCAGTGGCAGACAAGATGAGGTAGCAGTGGCAGACAACATGAAGCAGCAGTGGCAGACAACATGAAGCAACAGTGGCAGACAACATGAAGCAGCAGTGATGGACAACATGAAGCAGCAGTGGCAGACAACATGAGGCAGCAGTGGCAGACAACATGAAGTAGCAGTGGCAGACAACATGAAGCAGCAGTGGCAGACAACATGAGGTAGCAGTGGCAGACATGAGGTAGCAGTGGCAGACAACATGAGGTAGCAGTGGCAGACAACATGAGGTAGCAGTGGCAGACAACATGAAGTAGCAGTGGCAGACAACATGAGGTAGCAGTGGCAGACAACATGAAGCAGCAGTGGCAGACAACATGAAGCAGCAGTGGCAGACAACATGAGGTAGCAGTGGCAGACAACATGAAGCAGCAGTGGCAGACAACATGAGGTAGCAGTGGCAGACAACATGAGGTAGCAGTGGCAGACAACATGAGGTAGCAGTGGCAGACAACATGAAGTAGCAGTGGCAGACATGAGGTAGCAGTGGCAGACAACATGAAGCAGCAGTGGCAGACAACATGAGGTAGCAGTGGCAGACAACATGAAGCAGCAGTGGCAGACAACATGAGGTAGCAGTGGCAGACAACATGAGGTAGCAGTGGCAGACAACATGAAGTAGCAGTGGCAGACAACATGAAGCAGCAGTGATGGACAACATGAAGCAGCAGTGGCAGACAACATGAGGCAGCAGTGGCAGACAACATGAAGCAACAGTGGTAGACAACATGAGGTAGCAGTGGCAGACAACACGAGTTAGCAGTGGCAGACAACACGAGGTAGCAGTGGCAGACAACATGAAGCAGCAGTGGCAGACAACATGAGGTAGCAGTTGCAGACAACATGAGGTAGCAGTGGCAGACAACATGAGGTAGCAGTGGCAGACAACATGAAGTAGCAGTGGCAGACAACATGAGGTAGCAGTGGCAGACAACATGAAGCAGCAGTGGCAGACAACATGAAGCAGCAGTGGCAGACAACATGAGGTAGCAGTGGCAGACAACATGAAGCAGCAGTGATGGACAACATGAAGCAGCAGTGGCAGACAATATGAAGCAGCAGTGGCAGACAACATGAGGTAGCAGTGGCAGACAACATGAGGTAGCAGTGGCAGACAACATG